AGCCGTCGGAGATTTGTATCAAATGATTGTGATGAATGTCGTCAAATGATTTGTAAGGTCAAAGGTAGCTGCTGAGTAAACATTACTAAGAATTTGAATTCGATGCAATTATAAGAATAAATGGAAATGGAAGAAGGACGTTTTCATAAAAGACAAAAAAAAAACAATAGTTTGTGCAGTATCACACTTCAAAATTTTCAAGTAGTTATTCGATTTGGATGAAATGTACATGGTTAATATAAGAATTATTTAACTTAGGCGCTGTCGATATTTATTTTCAAGAATCAACAAACTCTCGTATAGTTTGCAGTTATACGATAAGCTGGACATACCGATGATGCTGGTCCATCGTCAGTTTCAAGAACCTAGAGGTTGTATGTCGTTCGATCGCAAAGAATAAGTAAATAAATTTCTTATGTCATCATCGACCATGCATTTTATTCATATATTACAAAAAATGGCCTTAATAGCGCGCGGCTAATCGTAAATGAGGGCGCATGCCGAGATCTGTCCTACTTCTTCTCCTTGTTAGCGAGAATGTCGTTCGCTTTTCCGTTCGTGACTTGGTGAAGTTCTCTCGCGTCAAATAGTGCGGGCAGATGCACACTCAAGAATTTTACTCTTTCAACAAGCGGTTCTTTCTCTTCCTTTTCTTTCAAAATAGATGCCTGTCCTTATTGGAAGACGTGGTACATGGTACCATTCCTTCCTTGTTTCCTTCGTTTTAGGAGAATTTTTTGATAGTAAGTTTTTCTCGCGATATAGAACTGAATTATCAATAAACGTCCATTTGGAAGTTTGATAGGTTTTACTAAGTTTCTTTCAAGCAGATAACACGTTAAATCTCTCGTCTACTTCTCGATATGAACGCGAGAAAGCTTAGCGAATCAGTAAATTATTAATCAAACAAATTATTATTATATCTTACACTTTCTCTCCCTTTATGTTTGTAATGACCAACTTTGACAGTTCTTCTCAGGATAGATATTTTCTGTTAAATTTACAAGGTTTACAAGATTGTATAAACACAATGTTTTTCCTTTACCAACGTTGATTAGATTAGATTAAATAGATGGTTATTAAATCGCACTTAAATCTCGTGCTTAACTTGAATTAATACATTTAGCTGCATCCCCAAAACACAAGATTACGAAGTTTTCGTAAAAAATTCGTTAAAGGTACAGAATTCGTCCAATCAATAATCATTTCCAAGAAATGGAGAAAAGTTTGTTAACGAAAAAGATCATCAATATCATTGAACGATGCTCATTAGTAAAACTGCCAGGTGTATATCTTAGCCTCGGTTCGTCCGCGAGATCGAGTGTACGCGGATGAGGATGATGAAAATCAGCATCTTTTTCGGGCAGATCTGGCAGGCCCTCGCGCGATTCGGATAAGATCTACAAAATCTCGATAAGTTTGTCATCTTCATTATCATCCTCCCTCTGTCATCCGCCTTTTCACTTTTGTCGCCATCTCGAGGAACAGGAACTTCCGCAATGGGATACAGACCATGGAGATTCACGCACGTACTTCCATATATGTAATAGACACGCGACATTCTTACAGGAACGGATACACTCTCGATTATGACAGACACTCGTATTTCCGGACCTATTTAGTCTATATCTAGCTTATTATGTGTATATTCGCACTATTGCGCCCTGCGCGAGCAAACGTTACACGTCTCTCCTCCGTTATATCACCTACCATATTTGTCGCTTTCTGTTTTTCACTCTCATTCTTGCTTTCACTTTCGCTCTCTTTCTCTCTCTCTCTCTCTCTCATTCTCGCTCTCACTCTTTGTTTTTATCTCGCAGCGAGTAGAAAGTTGCAGGTAGTATAGGTATGCTCGGTACGTGTACCATGTACCTATCTACCAAGTGCTGGTGTATATATATGGTGTATGTATATATATATATATATATATATATACATATATATATATATATATATATACATATATATATATATATATTTATATATAAGTATGTATATATCATAAATTTTATATATATATATATATATATATATATATAATCGCCTCGAAATGATAATCGCGCGACTTAAGGGCATGTACACGTGTCAGGGGTATGTGTATGTGTGTGTTTGCGCGTGCAGGGTGTAAGTGTCTGTGTATGCGTGAGTCGTGTGTTACGTGTGTATCTACATTGTTTTTCTTATAGTTTACATTCGTAGAATACGTTTCTACAATATATAGCGTGTGTTTTTAAATACATTTTAGAATTTGGTACTCTCGTCGAGACGACTCGTCGCGCCACACTTGCCATACTTTCGTCCTCGTTCCTCCGTTCGGGCTTTCGTTCGCATTCGTGCCGATCCTTCCTTCCGCTTCTCGTACAGCAACACTCGAACTTTCCCTCTTTCGGCCAAATGCTGCCTCCACTCGTATTTGCATTTTCCCATCCGGCGCGATCGATCGGGATAGTTTACGAAACGGTACTGAATCGCGCGGCGAATGAGAAAGACGCGATATATACACACACTTCGGAGAAGAAAATGACCTCATCTCCGTTGCTACTGCGCTGAAGATTGCATCCCTGAAATCCGTTGGACTCGATCCCCGTTGACGCAAGCCAAAATTCTCAACTACCCCGAGAGCGAGTGGCGGTTGCGAGAAGTATCGGAAGCAGCTGCTGCAAACAGCGGAATCTCCAGCGACAAGCGAGAGACGTTTCGGGGCTGGCTGAATGCGGACGATTCGCTATGTGAGCCACGAGTCCATGCCCGTATTCTCTCTCTCTCTCTCTCTCTCTCTCTCTCTCTCTCTC